CTACCCCAGTGGTAAGCTTTCTACTGAAAATTAGTTCTCCTGCTCTTCATTTCTACTGCCACTGGATTTTTGTTACTCTGTTAGGAAGTTTCTTTATATATCCATATGAGAAAACATTCTGAATCTATTCCTCACCCTCTGACTAACATTTCTAAGCCTGCCCTTAGAAATGCATGTATGTCTACATGCAGACAATGTAGATAACACCAGTCCAATTTATTTATCTACTTTTGTGCCACATCCAGTGGCACTCAGGGCTTACTCCTGATTCTGTGCTCAGGATCATCCCTGGCAGTGCTCAGGGGATCAAATTCAGCATCAGAGATTGAACACGGGTTTGTAGTCTATGCAAGACAAGTGTTTTACCTGCCATATTATCTCTTCAGCCAATACCTGTCCATTAATTTTATTATCTATTGCAAAGGTAAAATGGAACACCACTTTAGAAATATAAATCCCTGTAAGAAAAATGATATGTCAGGAGTCATTTAATGGCCCACTTCATTTGAGTAACCATCAATGCCACCAAAATTCAATATAAAGCAATGAATTTAGGTTATCTAAATTATCTAAGTGGTGAGTCTATTTTAAGAGAATTCTACCAGTCTCAGTTACATTCCAATTAACCATAGTATAGGCATTTTACTAAAATGTTCCAGATTACTATGTGTTTGTTCCTTTGAGAGAAGATCATTGAAGATGGGGCTTGGCAATAGCTTTAAATCATAAACTTCACCCCACCCATCTCAGCGTCAACCAAATTGAGTGTATGAAAGGATTAGCAAGCTCTTTCTTAAACCCTACTTTGTGCTTAGTACTCCTCTATAGGCATGTGACCAGACTTCCAGATTTTCCCAGAACTGCTATAATTTATACTCTCTGGTCCATGCAATTATTATATGGTCACCCTATTATATATGGTCATGCTGTTATGGGACATGGAAGGAAACACAGGAAGTCCTTAACTTACAAGCAACAAATTTGAACATCACTGCCCTCCCGCCCGCCCACCACACCCCACTTACCACTGCTATGCACTACTGGAAAAACCAGCATTACTTCCAGGGCAACCTTTAAGAAAACAATGGGTCTTTTGCATTCTGATATAAATGAAAAACCATAACTGAGAAGAGATGGTGTAGACTTGTCTACAAATTGTTCTCTAATAAATCCTCACTTAGACTATTTCTCTACAATACCCCAGGTAGAGATTTATTTAGGTGAAAACAAGCATTCTGTCTTCAATAAACAGGCTAGGCAGTGTTTATAGTAATTGATGCCTCCCGCCAACTTAACATGGAACTATTATCTATTTTTACAGAAGGGTAAGAGTATTTCTGGAGAAATAAGATTGGGGAAAACAGGTAATTTTAGAGTATGAGATATTCTAGGGACTAAGACCATTCCATAGGGCAACCCAGGGACTATACGGATCTATGAAAACTTGGAGTTCTGGTTGGAAGCAGAAAGGAAGGTTGGGTAAAATATTGCCTGAGCTTTACTGATTTTTTAGAAAAAAAATTTTTTTCTCTGCTCCTTGCCATTCCTCCTCCTCCACCCTTGGTGTATGTGGCCCAGCAATAGAATTTAAGCCAGTGTGACATTGCATCAATCTGTGTATAATGTGATTTCCATTTATTAGTATTGCCTTGACAGAAATGTGGATTCTTGGGTCTGATCAATGGACTTACCAGGAAATGACTAGAGAATAATTAATTATCAGCAGTAAGACATTGGTTCTAAGGCTATGGGAATTTATGCAAAAGGGGTAATGTATGGGTTCATGGCTATGTTCATATGGGACAACAGTTACTAGATTTGTATAGAACATGTCCTTAGACAGTGGGAAAGGAAATTTTGAAAAGGTTTTTTACCATTTTAGCAGTGGGAGCAATAGTATAGAGGGTACGGGGTTTGCCCTGCATGAGGCTGACCCAGGTTCTATCCCTGGCATCCCATACAGTCCCTCAAGCATCTCTAGGAGTGATCCCTGAGTGCAGAGTCAGGAGTAACTGAGGAACACTTCTGGGTGTGGCCCTAACACAAAAAATCTTTTAACCATTGTATTCAGGTAACAGGTTAATTATACTTTTCATGCAGAAATCATTGCCCGCGTCACACGCACTACCAGAGTCCACTTCCCTCCACCCATGTCCCAAGGATCCCTTACCATGCCAACTCATGTAAGCTCATATTTGTAGACAAAAGTATTCAGTTCTGTTGACTTTGGCTATTTGTTGTTCCTCTACTATGTTTTCATTTTTATCCCATCTTTGGGTGGTCTATCTCTTTTTCCCTCAATCTCTCTTTTTCTCTTTACTGTGAAAATGGTGATACTTATACACATATTAGAGCCAATCTCCTGAAATTCCACAAAATTGTAAATCAATGATAAGTTTATAAAATATTTTCTTTTCAAAATTGTATCTTTTATTAGGTATATAAATTTACAAAATTATGAATAATTTGATACTAATTCATTTTAAATTTACACAAAATAGAGAAATCCTATAATCTTAAGTGATGCAATTAAAATTTAAGAAAAAAATCTAAATAGGCCTATAAAAGCATAAAATGTGTTTGTTCTTCTGTCTTTACTTAAAACTCAGCTATGAATAATGTTGTAAATTATGATATCTTAATAAAAATATTTTTTTAAATTTTTTGAAAATATTTTTTTAAATCAGAGGGCCAAGAGATATATATACCTGGGCCATTTGAAATGCCGGAGGTTGTCAGACCTAGCTGGAATCAATGGAACTCTGACTCCAGTTCTTAAAAGAAATCAGAAAAAAAGAAATCAGGAAGGAAAAAGTCTGAATTGTGGTAAAATTCACTTGGAGACAAGGTTTGACATTACAGATGTAAATGAATAGGGAAGGTTGTGAGAACAAATCAGGCTTGATGGAAGCCAAATAGGTTTGTGAGAAACCTTGGGAGATAGGTTTTACTAAGGTGAAGTAGATGTCAAACATTTCTTTTAAACGAAAGTTCATAAACATATCACTGAAACTTGCATATACTTTATGTAACTGAACATTTGAAGGCAAAACATTTTTTGTATGTGAATGCATAAATTTCCTTGTTCAATCTTGCAATTTCTTTTTAAAACATTTATTTTAGGCACCATGATTTCCAATGCAGTTAATGATAGGGTTCATGCATGCGTACAGTGTTTCTATATCACACCCTCAACCAGAGTGTCTTCCACCCTCAACCTACTACCCCCATCTCCAGCCCTGGTAAGCTCAGTTCTGTAGACCAGTTCTCAGGCTTTGTGGCATTTGGGATTTTGTTATTCCCTTACTATGTTTCTTGATATCCCACATATGAGACAGGTCATTTCATTGTCTCTTTCATTCTCACTAGCTTCACTCACCATGACACCTATCTAGATGTATCCATGTAACAGTAAATTGCGTAATTTCACGTTTTCTTATAGCCACATAGTATTCTGTTGCGTATATGTCCCATAGGTTCTTTATTCAGTCATCTGTTCTTGGACACTAGGCTGTTTCCAGGTTTTGGCTATTAGGAATGAACAGTGCTGCAATGAACATAGGAATACAAAAGTCCTTTCTGAATAGAGTTTTTGGAATTTGAGGAGTGCTACCAAGACAAGAAATTGCTGGACCATATGGAAACCGAATTCCTAGTTTTTTGAGAAATGTCCATGTTGTTTTCTCAAAATTTTGAGCCAGTCTGTGTTCCCACCTGCAGTGGATGAGAATTGGAGATAATAAATCTTGACAGCTTTTCAGATTGACTTGACTAAATTTCAGATAAGATGAAGGTAATATTTTAGAAGATTGGGTGACCAGACTAAGGACTTTAGACTTAACAAAAGCACCCATAATGGTCATTAAAGATGATTGATCACACATGTAGCATTGGCATGTGACTAGTACAAAGGAAAGAATAGAAAGAAGTCAGGAAGACTATTTAGGAAGCTAGCTACAGTAGGCCAGAGATGGAGTCAAGTGACTAGGCAGAAAGGAGGAAGCAATTTGAAGAAAGGACAAATATGAAACCATCAACTGAGATGGAAAAAACATAAAGTAGGAGGTGCATTGGAAGGCTTTTGTCTATCTCAATATAACTTAAACATGGAGCTTTGAAGTGAAATTTAAGTTACAAATTTCAGTTTGTTTGACAGCTTACTACATGTGCAGCCTTGCATTCTCTTGTGATGAATATGCTTTCGTAGGAAACTCTATAGTACCTGTTCAGTAACTTAATTCTGCAAACATGTAGACCCATCCAATAGAAATCTTAAGGCATTGTTCATTTACCAGACACCCAAAATTAAGTTTGTGACTAAACACAACCAGGTTTTAATGAAGAAGAATAACTACGGAATTCATATTACTGCCAATTTACAATTTTGGCAAAGAGTAAGATGAATTGTCAGAAATTTCAAACAAGTGTTTCAGGTCGAGTTTATTCACATAGAAATGAATCCCTTTTTTGCTTCATAATCCCTTTGCCCTTCCTGTGAACTCCATCTCTTAAGAAACTCTTACAGACCCAAATTGTTAACCTAATTTATAAAAGAAGTTTAGTGAACCAATGCTGTGAGATTTTGATGGAAATATTTAAAATTAATTAGCCTTTCAGATTTTATTTGCATAGGTTCTTTCTCAACTCTATCTTTCCCTGTCAGAATAACTTTTTAGTAAGATTGATTTTAAACAATAAAACTTAGAGAATCTACGTACAAAGAACTTGAGGAATTTTTAAATGTGTGGGTTTATTATTAACACAGTAGCAAATATATCAAGGAAACACACCCCAGGAAAAGTGTTTCAAAGGAGCACAAATCTGCTCTGAGAAAGGTCTGTACCCAATAAGTAAGTCCAAAAAGGCTTGTTTGCACGGTGATGCCAGCTGATAAGCCTGGAAAACTTCAGTCTGACTGAAGAAGCCAATTTGAGACTCAGCTTGGACAAATTAAGCTACAAGTTCCTGCTTGAGCTCACCACTCAATGAACTTCAGCACAATGGTGTTCACATTTTGGAAGGTCTTTTTGATCCTAAACTGCCTTGCAGGTAAGGAAAGGCTCTTCAAATCACCAGAGATAATTAGGAATAGAATGTCCTTGAATGGAAACAATGAACTTTTATATAGAATGTTCTCTCTTGTTCTTTCAAAGGATCTGTGATGAGCATGCTGAGTAAAATCATTTTCCGGCCTCTTGCTTAGCAAATAGGGACCACGCTGATATTTGAGAGAAGCTAGTCTGTACATAGAATTGTGTGAGGGGTAGCTATTGAATAAAACATTTCTCAGAAAATTGTGGCATCTCTCTTCATCAGTTTGGAAGGTGAACCGGTAAGTTGGCTTAGAAGCTGAAGTTTGAGCTAAAATTACTTTTGTTTCTCTCTTCCTCTTGAATATTTTCTTTTGTGAAAGTTGCTTTACAACAGCAGACAGAGCCTTGCTGAGAGGACATGCTGTGCTTCACTACTTAGGAGTAATACTTTTTTCTAAACTTTAGTAAGACTATTTTTTCTAAGTCTAAATAAGGCAAGTTATTTGTTATTGTGCACAGTCTTTGTGTTTTTAGTGTTTGAAGCAAAAGAAACTCATTTTAGAGTAAAAATCCTAATGTTTGGTTAGAACAGGAGGGATCATTAATTCAGTAAAATCTCTTGGTGAACAATTTATTTTGAGACAGCAGAGACCAGATAGATATATTTTTAAATTGTTCTTAAGAATATCATAAAATTCAAAAAAGATTTGATAATATTGTTTACAAAATATTGATATTTTGAAACCAGTAATAGTAGGCAATAATTAGAATGGAGTTTATGATGCCTATTTAATGACATGAGAAATTTCTCAGGAAAACATATAAAGTAAAAAAAAGCAGCATACACACACAAACTTAAAATAAGTTATAGAAGGGTGTATAACCAAGTATTCATGGTGGTTTCCTCTGGGTGATGGGATTATAGTTCATTTTTATTTTATTCCACAGCTAGAAAAATGGAAAATATTTTCTGGTATTTCTACATAGCGCACTGTTTCAATAATCAGCAAAAGTGTTACTGCATGGTAAATGGTAATAGTTCTTTATTCCTGACTAATGTTTAAAATATTCCCTGGAGACAAATGTTCCCACAAGGCAATATTATATTTATTCCATGCTATTACCAGGACCTAGAGCCTGAAAAGCTGCCTTTCTTAGTTTCCATTTAGGTGGGAACACATTATCATTTATCCTTTCGTTCAGTAATATTAATTTTAAAGCTTAACCTTAGACAGTGAACGTTTTTGTCCCTCTTTAAAGAGCTTCCAGTCATTACCTAACTGGGTTGCCCTTGACTTTCTGCACCAGTTCCCTAAAACCACACCTGTAAGACAACACTTCACATTATTTGCCTTTGTGCAGCCTTACCCTAACCTATATTGGATGTCAGTTAGTGAGTACTTGCAAGGATATTTTTTTACTGTAACTAACATACGATAGCACAGCGTGTAGGGTGTTTGCCTTGCACGCAGCCGACCTGGTTTCAATTCTTTCATCCCTCTCGGAGAGCGCAGCAAGCTACCGAGAGTATCCCACCCACACGGCAAAGCCTGGCACTCTACCTGTGATGTATTGGATATGCCAAACACAGTAACAACAAGCCTCACAATGGAAACGTTACTGCTGCCCACTCGAGCAAATCAATGAACAAAGGGAGGACAGTGCTACAGTGCTACAAATCATTTTACTGAATACAAATATACCTTATGGTCAACATAGAAAGGTGGAAACATAAAAATGTATAAATATAAAAAAGGCATCATTATCAATATTTTGTTTGTTTTGAGGCCATACTTGGTGCTGTGCAGGGCTTACTTGGGTCTCTGAGCTCAGAGATCATTCCCGATGGTGCTCATGCTCAGGGGATCACATGCAAGCCAAATGCCTTATCCACTGTACTATCTCTCCATTCCCAATAATTAAAATTTTATCATTCTGAGATTTGACCAGATTTTTGGTCATTTTTCTTTGAATATATATATATATGTGTGTGTGTATAAACATTACACAGGTAGAACATTATGAAATTGTGTTTATTTCATGTCCACAATTTTTTTGTTTCAAACATTACTTAGATCATGTCAGGATCATAATTGATTGTGACTTTTAGAACTCGAGAGATAACTCAGCAACTGAGCATGTGCTTTGTATGTAGGAGGCCTGGGTTCAATATATAAGTTTACCAAGGCAACACATTGTTCATCTTAAATTTGAACAATTTAGATGCTATTTATTATATCTCTAAATCTGAAGAAATAGGGATATTTTACTTTCTCAAAATTTCATTATACCAAAAGGATTTTCACACATCTATACAGACACATGTATTTGTTGTGTTTGTTTGAGTGCCATACCTGGCAGTGCTCAGGGATTATTCCCGACTGCGCTCAGGGATCACTCCTGGTGGGCTTGGGGGACCATATGGGGTGGCAGGGATAGAACCCAGGTTGGCCACGTGCAAGGTAAGCATACTATCCACTGTTCTATTGTTCTGGCCCAGCACATATATATTTAAAAGAATTTTTTCTCTACAAGATAGCTAAACATTTTTAATTTTTAAAATTAATTTTTTTTTTTTGCTTTTTGGGTCACATCCGGTGATGCACATGTGTTACTCCTGGCTCATGCACTCAGGAATTACTCCTGGAGGTGCTCGGGGGACCATATGGGATGCTGGAAATCGAACTTGGGTGGCCGCATGCAAGGCAAATGTCCTACCTGCTGTACTATCGCTCCAACCTAACATTTTATTTTTAATAAAATTAAATTAATTTTGGTTATTCTTTAGGAAGTTTTAGATTAGATCCAAAATCATAAAAATAATTTTAATAACAAATAACTTATGGAAATGCATATTTTAGGTACATGTAATATTTACCAGCCAGTTCAAAAGAGAGGTTAAGTTTTTTATTTTCTGAAGATATGTATTCTACGGTTTAAAAGAATGATTTAGTTAATTTTTAGGTTTGCATCAAATTAAAAAAAAATAAAGATACTCAGCCACTTCTCAAAAATGAAACAACTACATGTGGAGTTACTAAAAATTAAATAATTTCTAAATCATCAGGGCAAATAAGCTTATTTAGAATATATTTTCGCTCTACTTTATAAGAGATCTATAAGCAAATCCTCATAAGCAAAGTACCTGCCATACTGTAATACTAATAAATGAATAAATGAAACAGAAGAACACTTCGAGTCTTAAAAATTTAAATTAAATATATACCTGAGAGTATTTTACTTTAATAATAAATATTGGTTTTTAAGACGTGTTCACACATGCTTTAAGCACTTTTTTCAACTTGTGACTCCTTTTTTTTGAAGTGCAATCCCCAGTATATAAATAGGTATGCACATAAAATATTTACTTATGGTAAATCATAAATTTATTCATTTAGTTACATGACCCCGTATAAGGCTATTCAAACCCATAGTTTGAATAGCTAACTTTTTGATTTTTTCTTATTTATTAGAAATTTTGTTGTTTTGCTTTTTACATTTACATCTGTGATCTATTTTAAGATAGTTTTGTGCAGAGATTAAGGTCTATGACAGATTCATTTTTTGTCTTTTGCTTATGTACATATAGTCCCCATACTATTTGTTTAAAACATTAACTTTGCTGAATTATGTTTACTGGCTTTGCTCATTTGTCAAAAGTCTTTTATGTGGGTCCTTTATGGGCTCCCTATTATGTTTCGTTACTCTATTTGTTCTTCTTTTACCAATAATTCCCTGTAATAATTACTATAGCTTTCTAGGAAGTTTTTAAGTTGAGTATTTTAAGTCATCCAATTTTGTTCTTGTCTTTTAATCAAGAAGCTAGGAAATCTCAAAGGAAAATAATTTAAAAAACCTAGAACTGAACGAAAGTGAAAAAGTATCAACAAATTATGTAACAGCTAGATCGGTTTTTAGTATTTTATAACATAAAATCGTTGTATTTGAAATGAAAAGCCTCATCAACAATGAAGTTCCTGTATCAGGAAAATAGAAAAGGAACAACAAAAGAAGCACATGATTTTAAAAAAGAGAGAGGGACATGATAAAGAACCGAAACCAATGAATGTAATTGGAGCAGAGAAACTACAGAAAAAATGAAATGTAATAAAAATCTAGTTGTTTGAAATAAAATAAAATAAACAAAGCTCTAACAAAAAAGCTAAAAGTGAAGAACATAAGATACAAATCACCAATATCAGAAAAGAAATATGGAATGTCCTTAGAGAGACTGCAGTTAAAGGTATAATAAGGGAATACTGTAATTGATTCACATATATGACAACTCAGAGGAAATGGAAAAATTACCTAAAATCAAACTAATAAAATTCACCTGAAATAAAATAATCAAAATATGTCTATAACCATTAAAGAATTTGAATTTAAAATTTTAAGACGGTTTCTAAAAAAAACCTCCAGGCACAGATACTTTCACTGAATAACTGTATGGACCATTTAAAAAATAACACATTTTACACATCTCTCCAAAAAAACAGAAAGGGAAAATATCCAACTCACTTTATGAGGCTAGCACACCAAAGCTACAAAAAGATGGTGCAAAAAAATAAAAAAAAAACTATAGACCAATATCTCTCATGAACAAAAACATAGAAATAATAAAAACTTTACTACAACAAATATCACAATGTATAAAAATTTTTATATTGTAACCAAATTTAGTTTATTTCATATATACAAGTTTGGCTCAACATACAAAATCCATTCAGCATAATTTATCATACCACATGAGGTAAGGGGACAAAAGGTCTTGGTCAGCTATAAGACTGAAAAAGCATTTGAAAAATCCGGGACCTATTCGAGACAAAAACTTTCAGCATGTTAAGAGATAGAGAGTGTATCAGTTTCCAAGAACTGATGTAATCAATTGACACAATCTGGGTGGCTTAAAATGAGAAATTTATTATTCTCTCATACTTTTGGATACCAAAAGACCAAAATCAACTTGTTGGCAGTATCAGTTCTTACTGGAAAATCTGAAGGAAAACTCGTGCCATGCCTTTTTCTTGCTGACTGCTAGCAATTTTTGTCATTGCTTGGCTTGTAAATGCATCACTCCAATCTCAGCTTGTCTTCACACAGCCTTTGCTTCTGTGTATCTTTGTGTCAAGTTTCTTTCTTCTTTTCTTGAAATGACACTAGTTAGTATATTTAAGGCCTGCCCTATGTATATGTGACTGCATCTAGATGACTGCGTCTCAAGATCCTTAATTAATTGCAAATATCCTATTATTTATTTTTATTCTTTTTATCATTGATTTACCATATTATGTATACCTCTATACGTGGGTAATTATAACCTCTTCCACCACCAAAGTGTGTGTCACCCTCAAAAGGAGATAGTGTCCCACCCCACCTCCCTTTCCCTCTGGTAATCGTCATAGCTTTCACTGAGTCTAAGAATTAGTTTTGTTTTGTGCCAGCTCATTGACCTTAGTTATTCATATTCCACATATGAGGTTTTTGCTTTAGTTATTACCATTTGCATTAGTTATTACCATTGAAACCATTCAATTTTTTTCACTTCCTTACTTATTTCATTTAGCATAATCACCTTAAGACCCAGACAGTTTGTCCCAGAGGGCACAATTGCATCTTTTAAATGGTATAGTATATACATAAGAGCATAATACATTCTTCATCTGAAAACCAACAAGTGGTATTGCTAGACCACATGGAATTCCATATTTTCTTTTTTTAAAAAATAAATCTACATACCATTTTCCATAAAAGCTCCACCAAATTACATTCCCACTGACCATGTACTTTTTAGTGCATAGTGTCAGCAGTACTTGTTTCCAAACTTTTCCCTCTGATATTGGCAACAAGGCATAGATAACCATTCTTGATTCTCTTATTAAATAAAGTATTGGAAGTTATAGGCACTTCAAAAAGGCAAATAAAATAAATAAAAGGCATATAGATTGGCAAGAAAAAAATTAACTTTCTATTCAACAAAAGAGACATCCAAATTTTTTTTTTTTTTTTGTAATTTTTTTTTTTTCCCCTTTATTTTATTTTATTTTTTTTAAAGTTGTAGATTTACAATTTTTTGTGCTTTGGTTTCAATTATACAATGATCAGATACCCATCCCTCCACCAGTGCCCATTTTCCACCACCATGGATAGTATCCCTCCCACCCCCATCCCCCCATCCCCCCGTCTCTGTGGCAGGGCAATCCCCTGTGTTCTCTCTCTCCTTTTGGGTGTTGTGGTCTGCAAAAGAGGCATTGAGTGGCAAACATGTTCAGTCCATAGTCTACTTTCGACATGCATCTCCCCTCCTGGGAGGATCCTCCAAACATCCTTTATTTGGTGCTCCCTTCTCTATCTGAATAGCCCTTTCCTCTAGGATACCCGGCTGGCCTCTAAGTTATGGAGTAATGCTCCTGGTGCTGATCTCAGCTATTCTTGGGTATTAATCTCATACTTTGTTACTTTATATCCCCCAGATGAATGCAATCTTTCTATGTCTATCCCTCTCTTTCTGACTCATTTCGCTTAGCATGATACTTTCCATATTGTACCACTTGTATGTAAATTTCATGACTTCATCTTTTCTAAGAGCTACATAGTACTCCATTGTGTAGATGTACCAAAGTTTCTTTAACCAGTCATCTGTTCTTGGGCATTCAGGTTTCTTCCAGTTTCTGGCTATTGTAAAGAGGGCTGCAATGAACAAACAAGTGCAGATGTCACTTCGACTATACATTTTTGCCTCTCTGGGATATATTCCCAGGAGTGGTATTGCTGGGTCAAATGGGAGCTCAATTTCTAATTTTTTGAGAATCGTCCATACTGTTTTCCAGAAGGGCTGAACCAGTGGACATTCCCACCAACAGTGAAGGAGTGTCCCTTTCTCGCCACATCCACGCCAGCATCGGTTGCTTTTGTTCTTTTGAATGTGGGCCAGTCTCTGAGGTGTGAGATGGTATCTCAAGAGACATCCAAATTTTTTAAGAACTCTTATTTGCAGAAGAAGATGCACAACGGAAAATAATTACACAAAATGATATTCAAAATCATTAGTCCCTAAGAACATGCAAATTAAACTACTATATTAAACCACATATACTAATATATAATTATAAGAAGGGTTAATGTAGAAAATGATGATAATACCAAATGCTGACAAAAATTAGAGAGACTGAATCATTCATATGTTATTGACAAATATGTATATTGGTTTAAGCACTCTGGAAAACACTGTGACTGTTTTCCTAAACACAGGAAATAAGCGTGCAGAGAGTACTTCATCCCAGGCCTTGTGGATTTGCCCTTCTCTCCTTCCCAATTTAAGGTGTCTGTCACACCATGATCCACCAGATCCTCAACCAGGCAAAGAAATATCCATGCTTGATTTTCCTCTTCATCTTTTATGGAGCTAGAGGCACTGTCAGAGGACTGTATGCCACCTGCCTGGTATTATTCAATCCATATATCATTTAGGATTGAAAGAATAACCCACACTACAGGAACAAACTGGGTTCAAATAATCAACACAAGGTTTACCTGCAGCAACTGTTGGTTATAGCAAACCTACAAAGGTCTAGACTCCTAAACAAAATATTTCACTTGTAAATCTGCTTAAAATGAGTCTTCTAGGGGGCTGGAGAGATAGCACAGCGGGTAGGGCGTTTGCCTTGCACGCAGCCGACCAGGGTTCGATTCCCAGCATCCCATATGGTCCCCTGAGCACCGCCAGGAGTAACTCCTGAGTGCAGAGCCAGGAGTAACCCCTGTGCATCGCCAGGTGTGACCCAAAAAGCAAAAAAAATGAGTCTTCTAGAAGCCATCACATAATTTTTAACTTAATTATGAAATATTTCCCCCTAAAAGCATGAAAACATGTTGATGTTTGGGTTCACAATGATTAATAACTATATGAAACTTTTTTGAAAAGAAGTTTAGAATGACCATCTAACCCAACAATTGCATTATTGCATAGAAATGGAAATTTATGTACACATGAAATTTTACACAAAAATATTTACCGAAATTTTATTTACTAGTCAAAAAATCCCAGAAGAATACCCAGATATGAGGTCAGAGTAATATTACAGTGATATTACAGTGGGTAAGTTTACATTGCATGCGACCAACCAGGGTTCAATCTCTAGCACCCCATATAATCCCCTGAGCCCACCAGAATTAATTCCTGAACACAGAACTATGAATAAGCCCTTGGCACTATTGGGTGTGGCCCCAAACTAAAAATAAAAATAAAATATAAGACAATAGACTCATAGATCAAAAACGAAGTGAACCTCTAGATTATATAGCTAAGTGAAATAACCATCTCCCAAAGATTTCAAGAATTAGATTTACAATAACAGTTGTGAGTTGGAGTGTGGCAACATTTTTAAAAGGAAAAATATGTTTTTTTAAAACAGGAGGGAAGTGAATGTAATTATAAAAGATCACATGAGAGACCTTTGTGGTAATGAAACTATTTAGTACTGTGATTGCAGTCATGTGTACAGAAACCTATACATGTGATTATATTGTATAGAACTAAATGTACACATACACACAGAAGTCTAAATAAACCCAGAGAAACATGAATAAGATTTATGGATTCTATTAATGTCAGTTTCCTGGTGGTTATTTCATGCTATAGTTTTACAAAATGTCTTTGGACAGGGAGGGTCTGGGCATATTGTGGTATCCATGTCTAATTTCTTAGACTTAAAAAACCATAATAACAATTTAAAAATAAAAATTAACTGAACACTCCAAAAAACTTTTTGTTTTATGAATTATTTTTATTTATATTTACTTATTAGAAGCTAAAACTGAAAAATACTAAAAAATATACAAACCTACCCTCTACTTAACTGATAAAGTAGTAACTTCACTTGTCATGTAGCTTCTGAAACACTCCACTGTGCACTCAAAACAAAAAAACACTGTCCTCCCGTTGTTCATCGAGTTGCTCGAGCGGGCCCAGTAACGTCTCCATTGGAGACTTTGTTGTTACTGTGTTTGGCATATTGAATACATCATGGGTAGCTTGCCAGGCTCTGCCGTGCGGGTGAGATACTCTCGGTAGCTTGCTGGGCTCTCCGAGAGGGGCAGAGGAATTGAACTCGTGTGGGTCATGTTGGCTGCGTGCAAGGAAAACGCCCTACCGCTGTGCTATCGCTCCAGCCCCTCACTGTGCACTCATGGAAGCTAAAAAGAAAAATGATATCTTTGTATTATTATTAATAACATTTGATTATGGCATTGGGAATAGGGTGACTAACTCATTCTCGTTTGCCTGGGACTTCTTTGGTCTTATCACTGAAAATCCTAGTCAAACAAGTATGAGTTGCCTGAGACTTACATGGTTCTAAAAGAGAAAGTTCCACTTTTAAGAAACTGGGCAAGCTGAATTGGCCATTTTCTATACTTGCAATTCTTTTGGGCCCGTGTATAACATTTTAAGAACTTTTGTCCAATGACATTTTTACAAAGAAGAAATGATCATTTCAGTGTTATTAGCACAGCATCACATAGAATTTGAGTATGTGTATCATAAGAATAAGTGAATAATTTGAGTAAGTGTATCATAAGAATGTACATATACTGCTGTCCTTTTGATGATTATCTTTTCAGGTCAAGTTGATGTGGTGCAAGTAAACATCCCAGACAATTTTGTGAACGTGACTGTTGGATCTGATGTCACTCTCATCTGCACCTACACTACTACTGAGATGTCCAGAGACAAACTTACCATTCAGTGGTCATTCTTCCATAAGAATGATATGCAGCCAAGTACTGTAAGGATGTTTTCCTTCTATTTTTGCCCTATGGTAGTTCTGACCAAACCTATTAGGGTCAAAGTGGGAAGGATAGCATCAGAAACTCAGATACAAAAGATTTGAAGATAACTCTTTAGGGAAGATTATAATCTAAGTGACTTGACCTATTTCCTCTTTCCACATTCAGTTATAACTTATTATCTCAGCTCTTTGTAGTTACATTAATTATGTGATTGACAGGTGTCAAGTAACTAACTCATTGTGTCCTGAGTCTTGATGGGATGAATCCTTCAAGATGGAGAGAAAATGGTCAAACTAGTAATAAAGCTTAGGTTGCTAAGGGTAGTAGGAATCTATAGCTAAGAAAATAGTGCAGATATTCTAAAGACTGGGGTAAGAGGTAGCCAAAAGAAAGTGGAAAAAAAGAAAAATGGTATCCTTGTATTATTATTAATAACTTCTACTTGAAAGCTTCCTGTTTCCAGGTTTTGTTCATCTGCACTCCAGGGTAATACCTTTTTTGTGTTACCAAAGGCTAAAATCATATGCTCAAAAGTGATGTGTGTATGTATGCCAACATGTATACCTTGCACACCTATACAGATTTCTTGAAGGAAAAAGTCTATTGTTTTCACTGGAATTTTGAAAGGGTGTTTGATGCAAAGCAAGGATCTGACAGAAAATATCTGAACTAGTTGGATGTAGTTGACCTGGGTCTTAGAGGATTAAAAAAATTTAATTAGGAAAAACATAGAGGGGAGAATGGTTTGTATTCTCTCTGAGAGGGCCAAAGACAGAGAATGAGAAAGGGATGTTTGCTGGGAAAAAACACATCTTGCCAGTGTGACTTCAGCCATCACTGGTCTTCTAGATGTGCTGAGTCCTCTGTTTACCAGAGGTTAGGATCACTTATTTAGCTGGGGAAACTGCTTAAGAGAAGCATCTATCATTGTCAGACTCAAGTTGAAGTAAAACAGTTTTAGTCAGTAATAACTCACTTTAGGCAAGGATCTGGATGATTTTGTGCCTCTCATCAAAGTATGATCAATAAAAAATTTAATACGGTCTACCAGTCACACTCTTCTGCCTACATAATGCGGAATTAATTGATATAATCCCTGTGTGTATCTTTTCGCTCTTGTAAGCACCTTTGCAGCTGTAGTAGCAGATACAACAATAATTCTACCAGGTTTTGTTACCCAGATTGTCCGGATCCAATATCTCACGTGTTGTAGTCAAACTAGAAGCCATTCCTTTCTTACGCTGGTCTCTTAGATTATGGAAGGCCACTAGCCATACACTATTTCTTCCTTTTAAAAACTCAGTTTTCCAACTAGTCTTTTCAATGCAGTCTGTTATCTGTAGCCTTGAATTTCTTCCCATGCTGTCAATAGGGTCTGGAGCAATAGCACAGAGGGTAGGGTGTTTGTCTTGCACATGGCCAACCTGAGTTCGATTCCTCTGCCCCTCTCGGAGATCCCAGCAAGCTACCGAGAGTATCTTGCCCACATGGCAAAGCCTGGCAAGCTACCCATGACGTATTTGATATGCCAAACACAGTAACAAGTCTCATAATGGAGACGTTACTGGGCCCGCTCGAGCAAATCAATGAACAACGGGAGGACAGTGCTACAGTGCTACAGTGTTGTCAATAGGGCTTAAATTTAGACAGGACTCATAATTGGGTTTTGAATTTTTAAATTCTGAATACTCAAATCAAGTGGTTCTAAACTGCTTGGAGACCAGTTTGGGTAATCCTAAATTTAAATACAAATTCTTATATATGTCTCTTCTGATACTGTTACTTGCAGGGCAACCTCTTGACTTAACTGTGTGGTCAGTGAAGGATTGGGAGATGTAGTATCTGTAATCAGTAAAAGTATTTTTTATAAACTTGAAGATGTAGAGGAAGAAGATATAGTGATCAAAATGACTGTGATTTGAGCTCAAAACATCTCCTAGAGGCACCTGGAAAGTAAAATCTGCAGACAAGTAGCCTATTTACTCATTAAAACATCAAGTACAGGCTCAGAAATAATTTAAGATATTAGTCTTTTGGGTGTCCAAATCAAAGAAATTCCTTTGCCTTGTGCTGCTAGGTCATTGAGAATGTGCTCCTTACAAGCACATTAATCTTAAACATTAACATTAAACATGTTAATCTTTAAACATACCAAGTGCAATATGCCTGTGCTATGCCTGTATCTTAGTTGTATGGATGATGGGGAAGTAGAGGAAATTCTTGTCTTGGAGACAATGAAAACCATCTCCAAAAAGACAAATGATATCTTTTCCCAGCTTGTTTCATCCCAGTTTTCCCCAACAAGTTACTCATTACAACCATCTTTTTATACCACTTTTAGCTAACTTCAATCCCTGATCCCTTATGCATACAAAAGGGGGAAGGACATATGCCTGTCTGCTTTTCTTGATGAATAGTTTTGCAGTCCCAGTGAAAGCCTGGTGGATGATCAATTCTGCTCTGCTCTGCTACATACTTTCTGTATAAACAATTTTAGACAAGTCACCTGAGCTTTGAGAGGTTGTTTTCCCAACTGTAAAATGGGAATATGTACCTACTTCATATATTTAGTGTAAAGATTGAATGTGATGATATTTGTAATGCTATTAAAGTCTTTCACATCATAATAATTAACAATTATTAGCATCACTATTTACAAAATGGTGATTCTGTAAAACTTCTATCCTGTCCACGTCCCTGACATGGGAATTAAGGAGCCCAGCCCTACAAGAATGGGGATCAATGACTTTAACAGCTGAATCAATGGTTTCCTGTTCCACTGCTGGCCAGGTCCCTATGGCTAAAGGGAGGGTCCCTTTTTTACTGCCCACTATTCCTATAGAGAGAACTTGCTCAACAACAACAACACCATACTCTGTTGTGATAGTATTTTTCAAAATAGGTTTTGGCTTTTATTTCAAATTTGCTTCTTTTTGGGCTCTTTTATGACTTCAAAATTCTGTAGTGAATGCTGGAGTGCATATTAATCTAGAAATGGTTGATGAGACACTTGGGGAGGTGATCAAAAGAGACTTCTGTGCTATTAAGTAATTCTGTTATATATGGGAGGAAGATGTTGCCAGCCTAGTCACTAAATGATTCAACTCCTGGGTTGATGTGTCAGTATACAATGTAGCATTCAGCTCTCAGATCCACCATTTCTGCTCAAACACAGCACAACTGGTGCCTCAATACTGAGGGTATGGAGGAAAAGGCAGTCAGTCAGTGTCTAAAAATGACGCATTCAAGAGACGCTCGGGGAAGATGTAGCTGGACTTCTCAGGTAAGAACATCTGTTGGTGTCCTACTGTACCTATTTATTGTTTGGAGTTACTAGATCAGCCCCAAATTTTAGGAGTAGGATGGGAGGGTATGAGTACGATAACTGAAAATTAGTACAGCCTTTGGCAGAACTGAGACAGTCTTTAGTAGTGACTAATTATTGCCACAAACTCCTCTTTCTCCCAAATCATTGTGTTAAAGGAGCAGTTGCCTCCAATGCCTTGTGTTTCTCAATATCTAGAGGAGAATGTTTTCTTTCAATCTCATCTAAGTAGTTCCTTTAATGCAACATTTCTTATCCAGGGGAATTACAGAATATTCCAGGGGACCACAGATAAAAATCATGTAAATAGCAGAAGGACATGTAAATGAGGGCCAAAAGCATGTGACTATGGGGTCAATCAGTAACATGGGTGGGGATTCACGAAGAAAATAAGGTCATAAGAGGGCCATAGTTGGGAAAAGTTTGGGAAACACAACTTTAGTGCATAGGGACTCCAGAATTATCTCACAAGTTTTGTGATCAGAAAGCCCTCCTTTCAGAAGTGATGGTGAGCTCCAGATGACCAATATCTCAGCAGAGACTCCCAGATAAAGATAACTGTAGAGAGTTAGACAGGAAGTTTAGCATGGAAGTTTTACATAATATGGCACTCCTCTCACTTTACCAATGTTTTCCCCTTTTATCAGCCAGCCACTGGTTTAATTACAAAGAACTTACCAGCTCATAAGCAAAACAGACATTGACTCAACTTAGCATGGGTCCTCTCAAATAATACTTCTCCATTAGACTATTCAAAGCAGAAGAAAACTTTTCTTATTCTTATCTTCTCAACACACATATAATGTGAATAGCTTGTTTTCTTAAAAATTAAATTAGTTGATTTGTAAACATGTACAGCCTTGTGAATCAATAACCATATATACTAGGTTATGTTTGCCACCAGAATTCTAGTTCCCATTAATTGATCCCTTTTCCCATCTTCCTCCTTTCCTTCTAGTATTCCCTAATTTATTCTTACTGTCTAAAAGTGTTTGTTCAGTTTTGTTTGGCCCTTTTACTTGCTCTTCTTGAAACCTTTTTTAGATATCTAGTTTTTATCATATTCTCTGGTTATTTAGAGTCTCCTAAAGTGGTCTGAAATCTATAGATAGCATGGTAACAATTTTTTAAAAAATATTAGCAGGATTGTTATGTTTTACCTCCTTAAGGGTATTTGAAAATGAAAGGGGTATTTCTTAGTTGGCATAATTGGAACTCAGTACTGAGATTTAGTGGAAAAGAGCTGGATAAAATATACATCTTATAATACATAGGATAGTCCCATACAAGATGGATGTGTCATTTCCCCCATTGAGAAATGCTATCAATTCATTCCTATCCAAACCCCTTCTCATCGAAGTATGTATTTTCACATTTAACTCCTTCAAGTGGCTCATCCTGTTAAATCTGATAAATTAATCTAATGCTAAGATGTTAGGGACTGGTGGTTGTTTATTTTGTTTCATTTCAAAGAAAAGCATCTAACAAGGTACCTTCCATACCTTTGCTTTAAATATCGCAATTCAAATAATGTCAATATTAGGCAAATGTCAGGCTGCTGAGAGTGGTTTGGGAGTATGAAAATCTTTATTTTGGTATTCTACTCCCTCCATGTACAATTTAGAACCACTAAGACCCAATACACTCTAGAAAAAATTCTGGTCTTGACACCATGGCCACCATACACTATCCCCTCCATGGTTAGTTCCTTTATGAAAGTACAAGAAAGCAAGAATCTGCAAGGGAAAGACGGGTAGTTTCTTGTGAACTTTCATTTCTTCCACATTCCCAAAAATGAAACCAACAAAAACAGCACTGGAGGCTAAAAGGATTTATTAACTCCAACTCAAACAGAAATCAGACTAAATTCTTTCAACCCTTGTTTAAACTCCAAACTCCAATTAGAAAGCAGTGTCACAAAGCTGAGTGGGGGAAACCTTTTTGGACAAATCTGGCTCCCAGCTGCACAGCCTCCTGTGAATGGGAACTTGGCACAGTAGGAGGAGAGACGCTGTTATTGCAGCTGGCTAATGTGAATGCATCATATGGTGAATCCACTCAGCATGAGAAGCATCATGCCAATGAATAGCAGTAATTGGCAGAAAGGTCCAGTTAGAGTAGGGAATGGGATGGTACCAAATGGGGAAGGTTGTCTAGAAATATCCTTTCTCTTTTAATGCAGGATGAGAACTACCATCTCTGTTCTCAGTGGGAATCAGGAGGTTCAAATTTCAGTCTGATCTTAAAGCTGCAGCCTTAGGAAAATCGTTTCCTCTCTTGGAGCTTCAGTGTCCTTTTCTGTAATAAAAGAGAATAAATCAGAGATTGGATGGCACACTGGAGGCCTCTAGACTAGATTTGGTCAGTAGGTTCATACTGGTTGGCCAGTACCACATTTCTATTTGTTTTTGTTTGTTTATACAGTTAGAATGCCCTATTTCTATTAGTGCTGCCCCCACTGTCCTCTGTGATCTTACTAGCCCTTTTACCAACCTTTCTGGACCAGCTTATGTGGAAAATTTAAATTTTTCATATTTTGAATCTCTATCTGGCCCATGAAGGTGCCTGGATCTTGCCAAATGTGACCTGAGCTATCTCTAAGGGGGTCTTATAACCAATCTGCTATTACTGATCCACATAGCAATCTCTAAACATCACCAATAGGTAGGCTGAGAGGCCTTGGGGAGGTAGAGTAGGGCAGGCTTCCCTGAACTATGCCACAAAAGTTGGCAAAAACTTAATAGCTACCATTTAAGGTTGTGCTTGGATGGATTTTCTTAAAACAGGACTCCTCCACCCCCACCCCAAGGATGTGTTGAACATCTGTTGCTTTTCCTGGACTTCATTTCTTTGATCTCTAAATTGACAATACACTTTCTTTGAAAAGTGAACAAGCCTCATCATGGGCTGAGCCTGGCCTATTGTTCAGCTTTGATTTTTGACAGAGTTATTCTTTTTTGAAAATGGAACCAAGTTGCAGTCCGTCCTGTGTGATTAGATAAGCGATTTCAGGAAGACATATATTTTCTTTTCAAGGACAAGGTAAGTGTGGACATCCCCTAACAGAAAGTCCCTCCATCTATGTATCTGGCCTCTTCCAAACTCTGGGGATTTCCCTTTTCACACAGCACCCCAAGGTTAAGGCCTTTCCCTCCTAGGTCTCCATTGTTATCCTTCCTTTCCACCATTCTTATTTGGTACATCATTGGGTTATATAATTGTGAGAGGCTAGAGTTTGTAAGTCTACATGTGAAGGGTTAGGTAGAAGGTTTGGTGAAGGTGCTTCACCTAAGGATGTTACAAGTCAGGGACACATTACATTTTCACTCATTTCATCTTGATTCTTGCCCAGTTGTGAGACTTTCCAGTTACATCGTTTTATGTCCTGATTCAGGACTAAAACACACTCAGCACAAGGTCTTACCCCAGACCCTCTGAAACTCACTGTGGTCTGTAAGTACAACTCATGATGAAACTCATTGGGATTCATTAAGAGTTAAGCATAAGTGGACTGGCTTAGCCCTAGTTTTATATAGAGCATGTAAAGTAGTGGCCAGTTGTGAAGTTCTCCTGAAGGGACACCAGGTTTTGTGACAAGTAAGAGGACACGGGTCTCAAAATTTTGTTTATAATGTAAATATGCCAAATACTTGCTAGTACAATAGGAATGGAATATCTTGTATGTTATTCAAATGAAGGTAACAGAATTTTTATGAGTTGACCCACCCTTTGGATTTTGGGATTGTAAATTGTGTAATCACCAAATGACTAGGAATCCCGCTGTTCTTGCTTCTTTCATTCACTGCTTTCATTTGGTGGTCTAGCTCAGCTTCACCACCTAGGGATGGCCAATGCCACGGCTGCTGCTGCTGCTGCTGCTGCTGCTGCTACTGCTGCTGGGGATGGCTGAGGAAGGAGGAAATGAGAGCCAGGCTGGTTGGTGATCAGTTGCCTTTTGTTCCATTCTCCCCACGTGATTGTTCCAGTTTCACTAAGCCCCTCATTCCTGTCTCCTCCTGTCCTTCTGTTTCCTTTACTCTTCTCTCTGCGCTCAGACACCCCGCCTTGGTCTCTCTCTCTCTCTCTCTCTCTCTCTCTCTCTCTCTCTCTCTCTCTCTCTCTCTCTCTCTCTCATCTCTCCCAACCTCTCTGCATTGGGGGGTAGCAACCACACCTAGGTCTGGTAGCACAATCAACATATGAAAACCCTTCCTGATTGCCTGTAGCCAGGAGATCAGCTCAAGGATGAAATAGGGGATTTTCTCCTTTCCTTAGTCCAACAACTTTATTAACATTTAAATTACCATTTTAATTCTACTTCTTAATATTAGTTATTTTGTATGGACACTGTAAGAGAGACATTAAGCTCGCAGGGTGGCTATCCTGGGGACATCTTGCTACAGAGCCCAGACTACAGTGTCAGTCTAGATTAATCTTTCCTAATCCTAGCAGGGTCCTAATACAGTTGTTACTTTTTGGATTATGACAGCATGTTTTCATGACCATGCTCTTAACTTATAGTTAAGTATTATGGCGCTTTGGCCTGGCCCATTTCAATGCCAGGGTAGCTCACAGCTTGCCCTGGGTCCATTCAGTCCTTCTTTGGGACCCTGCTTTTGGGGTGCTAGGAAGTAAGGGAAATTGGGGCTTAAATCAAGAGAACAGATGCCCAGGAGTGAATATTATTCGGAGTCAATTAACTCCCAAGTTACAAAAGCATAGCATTAACTGTCTCCTTGTATCTATACAAAAAGGACATGATTCTGAATTAACTATACAAAGGACATTAGGAGAAGAGAAAAGCAATATTTAAAAGTTAACAGAGTCTGATTAGGAGATAAAGGTGATTGACTGTTTGGGGAAGCAGAGCACAAAGAAAGTTTACAGATAAACACAGAGGAATGGGAGTACCTTGAGTGCACTGTGAATGGGTGCAACCCAATAAACCTAAACTCCCTGTGGCAAGGCAGAAAGGACAAACCAATGTTATCCTACAGTAAGTAAAACAAGTATTCCCTGGGGCAAAGACTGTGATTATAGCAGGTATAAATGGACTAATTGAGTTATAAATGGATCATCCAGGTGAGGAAAGAAAACTAGCAGATGTTATAGAGTTAGGGAAAGAAACAAGTTGCCTTTCCTTTGATATGATCTTTGAGCCCCACCCCCCTCAAACTTTTTAGTTGAGAGCTATATTAGCTTCCTACATGAAAGAGAACACATTTTCTGGTCAACTAGTTGTTTAAATAGCAATAAATGAATTACACAATAATCACTTGAATTACACACATTTATATGAAACTAACAAAGTATGTACATAGATTGGGCTATGAAAGGATCATCTCTAATCTAGTGAGTCTGAGGTTTCAGTCATCCATTCCTGTCCCATCTTTATGACTTTTTTCCTATTTATGTATCACCAGCATCGATAATTATTCGATGTTTTTTCTTTATTTTTAAAGCCTTAAATAACTACATTAGTCTCACTCTATTCATGAAGTCACAGATTTGATATGAGATATCTTTCAAATATACACGAAACACTTTCAGTTCTAATTCATGTACACCTAAAATCAATACCTATACTTAGGGAAAATATATCATACGTTTGGATTCATGATCAAATGTGAAAAATAAAAGTAGCAGATATTATAAGAGGTTTTTCTTATCACAATGTAGGTTACCGTAGAAGCATAACCATAGTTACCTCTCTTTTCTATGTCACAAATGGCAAAGCAGGCTAAAACTCAGGTCTTTTAACTCCTAGTCCAGGCCTCTTTTTGCCATATTATGCTGCTCCTACAGTTATCATAATTATCTAAACATCATATGAGGTGCTGTTTTGTTTTGGAGCCACACCTGTTAACACTCGGAAGCAATATCAGTACTGGATATTGAATCCAAGGATCCCACATACAAAGTATGAACTCTAGTCATTTGTACCATCAGCCTAGTCCAAAATATGATGTTCTTTAGATCCATATTGATATATTTCTTAAGTGTAGTAAGCTACATTGTCTTTTGCTTAATCTAATCTCTCTGGGTTTGAGTACCCTTATTTGTCTAAATAAAATAACTGTAGTTCTGCCTTTTCCTACATGGGAAGGAATGTAGTAGCTACCATTAACTAAGAACTTCTTTGATTCTTTTTGGTTATTATTGTTGTTTGAGGTTTTTTGGGGGAAGGGAATACCCAGCAATACTCAAGTATTACTCCTGGCTCTGCATTCAGGGATCACTCCTAGGATGCTCAGAGATCCAACTCAGGTACCAGGGATCAAACAACCACATGCAAGACAAGCTGTCCTATCTACTACACTGTTAATTCAGCCCATTTCCTTGACTCTACCATATTACTTTGTTTCATCCTCAAACAGTCACTATGAGGGGATGAAATCAAGTAATTTTCTGCAATAACTTTTTAAATAACAGGATGCTGGAGAAATAGGACAGAGGTTAAAGTACTTGTCTTGCATGTGAACCACAAGTTATTCCCCAAGCCTCACTAGAAGTGATCCCTGAGCACAGAGTCAGGAGTAGCCTTGATAAATGCTAGGTGTGGCCTACCTATCCTTCCAATTAATAGAGAACAGGATGAACCCAAATCCAATCTGTCATTTTTTTCTTATCGAAAGGAGTATGTGTATATGAAAGAAGCAGGGATTTTCTGCCTTTCAGGGAGACCAGTTACTCCAGAGAGTTCCACCTGATAAACTAAAGTCAAACTTTTAATTTTATTTCACGCTGGGGATTGAACCTATGGCTTCCTACAAAACAAAGCAGGTGCTTTAGCAATGATAAGTTGTATAGACAAGGTTGGGATGATTTAAGATTCCCATTGGAAAGTTTCATCTAAGCAGAATCAGTGGGTGAGTATCTCCTAACCTAAACTTCGGAATTGAATGCTATAAGTAGCAACTGCCAATCAGCTGTAATATAGGCACACCATCCCTGCTTTAATGACATCACATAAAGGAGGTAAGAGTGGTATGCAGCTGTTCAGTCATATAACGTTCAAACACCGTCCCTTCTCCATTGTACATTTCCCACCACCAGTGCCCCCAGTTTTCCCTCCCTCATGAGCCCACCCTACCCCCGCCTGCCTTTATGGTTATGGCAGGCACTTCTCTTCTCCCTCTCTCCTCTCTCTCTCTACTTTTGAGCACTATGGTTTGCAATATAGGTACTGAAAGTTTATCATGGAAATCACTTTACCTACTTTTCAGTACTCAGTTCTCATCCAGAATGATAATTTACAACTGTCATTTTCATAATGGTCCCTTTTCTCTTCCAACTGCCCTCTCTTCCCATTATTTAAGTAAAGCTTCAAACCCTGTACAAGTACTCCTGGTACTGTTTCTACTGTCCTTGGGTATTAGTTTCCTATTATAATTTTTTTCTTTTAAATGTCCCACAAATGAGTAAAACCATTCAATAACTGTCCCTGTACTTCTGACTCATTTCACTTAGCATGATTCACTCCATGTCCATTCATTTATAAGTGAATTTCAAGAATTCATTTTTCCTGGTGGCTGCATAGTATTCCATTGTGTAGTTGTTTCATTGTGTAGACAGTTTCTTCATTGATCCATCTGTTCTTGGGCACTTGGATTGTTTCCAGATCCTGACTATTGTGAATAGTGTTGCAATAAACATAGACATCAGGCCTCTTTCTAATGCCAGGCAAAAATCAAAATAGATTAAATATCTCAACATCAGACCTGAATCCATAAAGTACATGGAGGAAAATGTCTGCAGAACCTTCCATGACATTTAAGCCAAAGGCAAGTTCAATGATGAAACACAACTGATCAAGTAGAAGTAAAGATAAATGAATAGGACTACATTGAACTAAGAAGCTTCTGCACCTCAAGAAATGGTGACCAAGACATAAAGAACACCCATGAATGGGAGAAATTATTTACCCAATACCCATCTGACAAAGGGGTTAATATCAAAGACATTGGTAAAACTTTACAAGAAGAAAATTCCAACCCCATCAAAAAATGGGAAAAAGTAATGAACAGAAGCTTCCTTAAAGAAGAAATACAAATGGGACATGAGAAAAATGCTCTACGTTACTAATCATAGGGAGAAGCAAATCAAACCAACAATGAGTTATCATCTTATATGAGAGACTGCCACACATCAAAAGAACATGAACCAGTCCTGGCGTGCATGTGGGCAGAAAGGGACTCTCCATAGTTGGTGGTGATGCTAATAGGTCTAGTATTTTTGAAAAACAATACACGCTTTCCTAAAAAAAAAAAAAACTAGAAATTGAGCTTCAATACGACCTGCAGTACTACTTCTGGGAATATACCCTGGGGGCCCAAAACCACACTGGAAATTTTCTAATTCTCATTTTCTGTCTTGTTTTTCTTCCCTAGATTTACTATTCTGAAGGTGGGCAAGCTTCAGCCATTGGACAATTTAAAGGTCGAATAGTAGGATCTAAGGACCCTAACAACGCATCCATAACTATTTCACATATGCAACCATCAGACAGTGGCATTTATATTTGTGATGTTAACAACCCTCCCGACTTCAGTGGCAAAAATCAAGGCATCCTCAACGTCAGTGTATTGGGTATGGCAATTTTTTCTGTCTTTTTTTTTTGATGGGAGCAAGGAGTAACTTAGGACACTGAATGAGACAGGGCAGTAACTTCTGGTGCTAGTTCAGTCCCAGGGTAAATATCCTCCCTGTTCCCTATTCATATAAGGGAAGCAGACACCACACCCACCCAAATCATCCAGTAATACTGAGAAATGACTCATAAAATATGTTGAGACAGTTGCCAAACCAAAAGAGCTGCCAAGAAGAAAGACAGAAATAGATGACCCAATCTCCGGGGATTCCCGTCTCTGAAGGAGTGAGAACAGATGCGACAACACAAAGTCCCACTGAACCAGCAACTCTTTTTAGAGGGAACTTCCAATTAGAGCCAGTGGGAGGAATCCGAGGGGGAAAACTAATAACTTATCACCTCTCCTAAGCCTGTCACCATTCCCTCTGTTACATCACTCTTGAAATAAATGCAAGAAAGTCTCTGGAAAATGTTGATGTTTGGTCCAGAGAGATAGTACAAGGAGTAAGGTGTTTTCTTGCCATGTACTTACTGACCTGGGAGTTTGATCCCTGGAACAATATATGGTCCTCCCCCAAACCACAATGAGCAATCTCTGATCACAGAGCTCATAGAAAGGTCTGAACACAACTGAATGTGGCCCAAAGTACAAAAAAAATTCATGTTAATTAGGGAAGGGATCACATGCTAAGCCAGAGAATTTATTTATATATACATATTCATTATGCAGCATTTGGCAAGTCAGATCTCCTTCTAAAGTGAATTAAGAGTTGTGATTTTTGCAGCATTTTTGCAGACTTTCTGCCTGAAGCCAGAAGGTTTAAAAAGATAGAGGCATGGTCTTCTGCTCTGGAGGGAGTTCACAGTTTGAACTATTTCTGGGCTCCTTTAAATCACTGAAAGGACAATGGGAGTTTCTGTCCTGTTTGTCGACCTAACAGGTCTTGTCTATTGACCTTCAGAAGTATTACAGAGAAGGGCGAAAGCATTAATGAATCCAAGGTTCAGTTCTTCCTACTCCAAGACAAATTCTCAAGAGACAAGGGTGGTGAGAGAAAAACAAGTTTATTCAGTTGCCATCAACCTCAAACCAGGGAGTTACTATCCAAAAAAATCCATGTGACTTTCAGGATGCGCTTTGGAGGACTCTAAAGGACTGGTGGAGGAAATAGACAAAAACAGAAAAGGGTTGGAGATAGACTAGTTGCAGAGAATGGGTTCAGTCAGGCAGCATCTCTCTGACCTTAGTGGTTTGATGAAGTTCTAGGGCATGCTGACCTGTTCTTTGTAAAAGAAGATAACGCCACTGTGCAACACTGGCTTTTGAGGAGATGCCATCAAGGAATAGACATCTGTTGTTTGTTCTTTTCCTCTTTTCTGTGAATGGCTCCTAGTTTTAAACTAAACACAAGTTACAGGAACATTTCTTAATATCTGGAGGAAGGCAGAATCAAGGGATGAAAAAAAGATCTAGAAATTCTGTGGATAATAAGATAGAGTTTCTAGTGCCTGATCACTTATGCCAGCACTCACTGACTACCCAGTTGAGCTAAAGGTTCTTCCACTTTTAAGTAACCCACAAGGAACTAATCTAATCATTGGTCCTCTCATGTTTAGTACATTCATCACAGGAAAGGAGGATTGAGCTCAAATCAGTGACTTGATAATTGAGTAGCATATTAATGCAGTAACTGAGTAACAAGGTTCAAACCGAGGGGAAATGTTAAAAGTTGTCTGGGCTGGCTTTCTCTCATGTTGATGCCAAAAAATAAACCAATAATTTACTGTGAGGTCGGCCACACACACTACCACCAAGAAGAAAGGATAAGGGCAACCAAGAGCTGGTCTTTAAGAGCAAAGTTAGCTCAGTAATGTTGAGTTCTTGAGAAAAATGTTTCTGTAATAATTTATATGTCATGACATCCTTAAACATACAGGATATAAGTATGATAAAAGGAAGATGTATCTGTTGGTTTCCCTGTTTGTTTGGTAACTTTAAAGATCTGGTTTTTATTTATTTATTTTTATTTTTTAATTAGATTTCAGTTTTATTTATTTATTTATTTTTTCTGTGATAACTTTTTTATTAAAAATTTTTTAATAGTGAGACATCATGAGGTACAGTTGCAGACTTACACATTTTTGTGTTTGGGTTTCAATTATACAATGAAAGATCTGTTTTTTAAAGATTGGTTATCGCAATTTATATTTCATGCTTGCAGTGAACCGCGGTGCTTTAACATTTAATTAAAATATACTTTTATTAATATTGATGGGCTGGAGCGATAGCACAGTGGGTAGGGCATTTACCTTGCATGCAGCCAACCCAGGTTCAATTCCTCCATCCCACTCAGAGAGCCCAGCAAGCTACCAAGAGTATCCCGCCGGCATGGCAGAGCCTGGCAAGGTCCCTGTGGCATATTCAATATGCCAAAAACAGTAACAACAAGTCTCACAATGGAGACGTTACGGGTGCCTGCTCGAGCAAATCAATGAACAATGGGAGGGCAATGCTACAGTATTAATATGGATAAAAACAAAGGTGTGCATTTACGTTTCCAGTAGTTAACTATGAGTAATATTGGCAATTTTCTCTAAAATTATGAAGGGTGACTGGGGGGGATATATAGCATAAAGGGCTGAAGAACATGCTTAGTATGTAGAATACCCATATTCAATCCCCAGCACCATATGGCTCCCCCAGCGTTACCAACAACAACTTTAAGCACTCCACTGGGAGTAGCCCTGCCTAAACTATGCTGGATATCGTCCCCAAACAAAAAAAACTTGCTGTTTACCAATTTTCAAATTTTATTTCATACACTAGTGCCCATTCTTTTGTATTATTTTAATTTTTATTGAATCCCCATGAGATGCAGTTACAAAGTTATTTATGATTTGGTTCAGTCATACAATGTTACAGCACCCATCCATTCATCAGTGTATATTTCCCACCACCAAATTCCACATTTTCCCTCCCACCATACTACCCCCACCCCCCGCAGCCAGCCTCTATGGCAGACACTTTTCTTCTTTCTTTCTCTTGCTCTCTCTCTCTCTCTCTTTACTGTGCCCATTCTTTTGTCCAAGACTAACGGCTGAGGTCTGGTGTGGTGGGTAAGAGGCTAAGAAAGCTCTTCATATTAATACATCTTTCTGAGATACTTCATCGCTCAATGGCAGTCATCAATCCCATGCATTATTCATGCATATATTCTTTTAGCAAGCCTTAATACATGTGCCAGCAACAATTCCATGTGTAAGACTCTGTATTTGTGTTAGACATAGTGAGATAATCTCTTATTTTCATTTTATAGATTAGTCAATTGAGATTTGGCTATGTTAGACTATTTATCTAAATAGTCTAAGGGACTAAATAGATAAACACCTCTAGGGGAGAGTTTTGGATCCAATATTCTGTGTGAATACAGAGCTGTGCTCCTAACTCCTTGGTAAATTGGAGTGTTTAAGGTATTTAACTATCCTTAGCCACATTAAATAACTTATTCTAACTTTGGAGAGATTCATTTCTAAATTAAATGATCAAGGTGAGTTGGAATATCTTATAACAGATCATTTTCTGTATGTGAAATGATGGTTAGAACAATCCGTGGGTAGGAAAGATGGGTGAGGAGTTACAGACTCTTGTTTTCCATAAAATTTCCTCAATGATGTGTTCATAAGCAGCATTTAGTAGGTCCCAAACAGGGCTCCTCATTGCTCCTTCTTCTTTATTCCTTATGTTAAAACTTATTCTTCCTCCTCCTCGTCCTGTAGACTTTGTGTTACAGGGGATAAAAAAGATCGTATACCTAGCTATAGAAACCAGAACTCTGAGCATCATCTTCTTTGACCCCACTCTCTTATTCATAAAGCATATTTATTTATCCAATTGGTTACCAAATCTCTAGTGATTCTACTTCTGTAATACCTTTTGAATCTGTCTCTTCCTCTCTCTTGATTAAGATGCTGTCTGTTCCTCTCTTGGTTTCTCTCTCTTGGTTCAGTTTTTTCCCTGGGGCAAAAACTACACTCCTGAAAATTTAAAACAAACTACTGAGGGGTTGGGGATGTATCTAAGTTTTATAGTGCTTGAATTGCATGTGTGAGACCCTGGGGTTGATGCCCGCAATTGAAAAAATATTAGTCTAAAATGTCTTACTTATCTGATCTTCCTTTCCCCATGGTGGTTCACTAATAAAAATTTGAAAAAATTAAATATGCTTTGCAAAGAAAAAATTAATAAATAAAATGTCTTACTTAAAGTCCTTCCATGATCCCTTCTCAATAAAAATACATAGAATACAAAGCCCCCAAAGTTCTAGCTTTGTCTCTCACTCTCTTTGTTCTCTTTTCAGAATTTTTTCAGTAACTTTTGAATTTCTGGTGCCTAGATGAGTGCCCGGAATACAGAAAGTATTCAAGCAAATGCTTGTGGAGTGAAGGATGAATAAAAGTTTAAGCGCTGTTCATTTGTGTGATATAAAAAAAACACAGTATGAGAATAATACCCAAGGACAGAAAAAGGGGCAGCAGGACTGGTCCACAGTTGGAAACTTGCCACAAGTGGTGGAGGGAGGGCATTGTGACAGAGAAAGAACCACTATGACAATGATAGGGTAATCATTCTGGACAAGAACTGAGTGCTGAAAGTAGGTTTAGGGATATATATGCTAACCTTTTCATACCTATATTGCAAACCATAATTCTCCAAAGGAAAGAGAGGGTGGGAGAGAAAGAGTGAGAGAAAAGGGGGGGACGGAGGAGGAGGAGGAAGGAGAGGAGGAGGACAAGGAGGAGGATGAGGAGGAGGACAAGTTGGAGGAGAAAAAGAAATGTGTCTGCCATAGAGGCAGACTGGGGTGGGGGTGGTAGGAGGGAACTAGGGTGTTGGAGCATTATATGGCTGAAACCCAAGCATGACCAACTTTGCAACCTGTATATCATGTGATTCAATTTTAAAAAGAGAGAGCTAAGTTTTGTGCTCACCACCATGTGCTTCCTGCACTGAGGAACACAGGAAAATCCAAACCGTCAGCATTCTGTATCACCTCTTAAAGAATAGATTTCCCAAAAGATTTCACAAAAGAGAATTAAAATATGGCGTTAGTTGAATAGCCATTATAGAAGAATAAATAGGCTATGTCAAACCATATAAGGGCCCTATCTTCCTTTAAACCGGTACCACAAAGGTATAAATTTTGTTCTTAATAGTTTGGTATTTGCTTACATGTGGCTGTTTTAGTAAAAGCGTATTTTTTAGACACAATGTGGAAGTTCATGGTTACGAATCTAGAGGAGAAAGCAGACAGAGACGCCTTTAGAATGTTAATGTTCTGATAACTGTGATGCCCTTGCACCTGAAGTGTTTTACTGCCACCTGGTGGTAAAAACAGAAGACTGCCAAATCAAATTTGAGATTTAAAAAATAGTTTTGCATAAAGTAAGGAAGTGACTGCAATTTGTCTTTCATTCAGCAGGATTTTCATTCTTTGTCATTTTCTTCCAGTTAAACCTTCTAAGCCATCTTGCAGCATTCAAGGAATACCTGAAGCTGGTCATTCTATAGCTCTTTCTTGCACCTCAGTGCTTGGGACACCCTCACCTCTGTACTACTGGTATAAAGTTGAAGGAAGTAACAAAGTTCCAGTAAAAGAAGGTTTTAGTAAGTATAGATGCAAGCAAGATCTGGTGGATGTGATTGGCTGACAGCAATTGCTCGTCTTCAGGGTTCAATCTTCTACTTTTCTGGAAGGAGATGTGAAAAAAAAGTCTCTCAACACAATGATAGTGCTCAGAATGATGATCTGGTCTTCCTTACGGTTGTTAGAAATCAAATCGATTTTTGGCTTAAACATAGTAGTTAGTAGTGAATAGGTATGGTCGCTGAAGGACTACTTTTGGAATAGAATCAAAGGGTCTAGTCAGAAACTGGACATCTCAAAGGAACGCTTCTATGAGATAGAAGATGGTGGACATTGATGTGCTATAGACATGATCTGTATCTATAATAAGAGATTTAAACAAACTATTTCCTGGTTTTGACAGATACAGCAACTGGGATTTTGGTTATTGGAAATCTGACTAAGTTCGAACAAGGTTATTATCAGTGTACTGCTGTCAACGTCCTTGGCAATAGTTCCTGTGAAATCGATCTAACTTCTTCACGTGAGTTAAGCATCAAACTTTAACCACTTCTTTAAGGTGTCCTGGGTCTGCCAATAAACGAAATTAGTTAAGGATTCCCAATGAATCTTTCATGTCTTTCTGGGTATTGTTGTGATTGAGTTCTAGGTTGATGTGAATGTGTGTGTGTGTGTGTGTGTCCTCCCATTGTTCATCGATTTGCTCGAGCGGGCCCAGTAACGTCTCCATTGTGAGACTTCTTGTTACTGTGTTTGGCATACTGAATACTCTCAGTAGCTTGCCAGGCTCTCCGAGAGGGGTAGAGGAATCGAACCCGGCTCGGCCAGGCTGGCTGCGCGCAAGGCAAACGCCCTACCGCTGTGCTATCACTCCAGCCTCCAGGTTGATGTGAATAGCTATCTTTAAATCTAATGCAGACGTAATACTTAAGATATTGTTCACAATACCCTAAGTTGCTAAAAAATTCATCTGTTTGCTATTCACAAAGTATCAATAAAATAACCATTTGATTCAATAGTAAAATAATGGCCAAGCTGAATTGCTGTTGGTGTATCCAGGTGAAACTGTAGTTATGTTTGTCAAAGATGAACTCACACATTTTTCCGTTCTTAATTTGTCAGGATCTGCCAACAGCAGCAGCAGCAAATTTCTCACATCTATATTCACAGTAGCTAATAATTTTGGAACACAAATTATGTGTCATTTAGCTGGGTGCTCTGACTGTTAATCATCTCAGTTAATCTTCCAACCATTCTATCTAGAAGGTAGTATAGACTTTAGCTTCCTTTTACTACAAAGGACACCAAAGATCAGGGAAATAAGTGACTTTCACCAAGGTTAACTTATTGCTAACTGGAAGATTGTAGATATCTCTAAACCTTAATCTTCTGGTTCAAAGTTACTTAGCAACTTTGTAAGCATAGACTTAAAGACTTGAAATGATCGAATGATTTCAATCCAGGGCACTCTTATAGAAATATCTTGCCACATCTTTCAAGGACCACTAAATAATACTTAACATCATGTAATTGCAGCACTCTTTACAATAGCCAGAATCTGGAAAAAACCTGAGTGCCCAAGAACAGATGACTGGTTAAAGAAACTTCGGTACATTTACACAATGGAGTACTATGTAGCTGTTAGAAAAGATGAAGTTATGAAATTTACATACAAGTGGTACTACATGGAAAGTATCATGTTAAGCGAAATGAGTCTGAAAGAGCGGGATAGACACAGAAAGATTGCATTCATCTGGGGAACATAAAGCAACAAAAAGGGAGAGTAACACCCAGGAATGGCTGAGATTAGTACCAGGAATTTTGCTCCATGAATGGAAGGCCAGCCACAGGCTCTAGGTGAAAAGGAAGCTCAGATAGAGAAGAGAGTACCAAATGAAGGGTGTTGTGAGGGTCCTCCCAGGGTGGGAGAAGCATGCTAAAAGTAGTCGATAGACCAAACATGATTGCCACTCAAAGCCTCTCTTGCAAAACACAGTACCCAAAAGAAGAGAGAGAGAACAAGGGGGAATACCCTGCCACAGAGGCAGGATGGGACGGGGGCGGGGATGAGGGTGGGGGGGGATGCTGGGACCCATGGGGATGGATGACGGGCACTGGAGGAGGGATGGACACTTGATCATTGTATAACTGAAACCCAAGCACAAAATTTGTAAGCCTATAACTGTACCTCATGGTTTTTAACTAATAAAAAAAGAAAAATAAATAAATAAAAAAATTCAAATAGTTCAGCGGGGGTGGGGGGAGGTGGTCCAGAATTTGGTCTACTCCCAACTGTGCTCAGGGCTCACTCGTTACTGTGCTCAAGGACCACTCCTGGCAGTGCTTGGGGATTGAAACTGGGTCAGATATGTGACTCCCAAATAGTGACTTGTTTTGTTGTGTGTACATAACAAATCTTTATCCAATTATCTGTCAAAAGCTACTTCCAGTGTTTCTATATCTTACCTATTACAAATAATAATAAACATTGGGATGGGTATAAAAAAAACATCATGTAATCTAAGTCAAATTAAATTGACACCGCTGTTAAATTTGATATAAAACGTTCTGTTACTTTGAACTCTGCTGTCTGAATATGTATCATATAGAAGGTAGCTGCTTTCTTTGGCTCATTATTTTAGTTATTTCTTAATTCCCATAGCATGTCTCATGGTTTTTATTTTTTGGTGTGTCCTTTTCTGTGGCCTGATTGTATTGCCAACCCCTTGATCATTTCTATTATTTTTCTCTAGTTATTTCCAAATCCCCTTTGCCTTTCCAGTGGTCGTCATGCCACAAATGTATTTATTCCTAAGATTTGTACTTAAACCTTCCTTCCTTTCAAATTCTCTTTCCAGTGATGCCTGGTTTACTTTTTTCCTTCCTTATTTTCTTCCTTATTTTCATTCTTCCCTGACTTCTTGCCTTTCTTACTCAAATACTAATGGAGAATCTACTATATGACAGGGACTTTCCTTTTTGATTGACGGATGAGTAATATATGTACTTTACATCAAAAGAACTCACAATTGATCAAAAGGGACTATATAATACAGGTTTTCACAGAGTCTGTAGGACAGCAATGAAGAAGCAATGAATATGTTTATAGAACTAGGGCCATTATCAATTGAGTTCCATTTGAGCTGGAGAATGAAGGAACTTGAAAAGTTTATCTATGAAATTGGGATAAAGGTGAAAGGAGGCAGAAGTATAACAGTGAAGCAGGAGGCTTAGAAGATCAACTTGGACAAGTTGATGCTGGGGGAGGAGGCTGGAGAACTCCAAAGGGGGATTCCTCAAGTAAAAAACCCATAAGAAACTGATAGATCATTTCATGTATTTGTATACGTTGAAAGGAGTTGAACAGATACTATTCCTATAGTTTTATAGGAACCATAAGGGAGTAGTAATAATGCATGAAGAATAAAGTTAATGAGGAATTATCAATCTCAGGGAAATATTCTAAGTGTTGTAAAAGAATCATGATATATGATGTTCTGCATCTGTGGACAATCTTTCCACAGACAATACTTCAAAACTTTAACTGCAACTTTAGCTCAACTATATTAGGAGAAAGTGTCAGGGTACAAGAGAAATAATGTGAGTTAAACCTTCAGATTCTAGAGCTAAGTTGTCTGGCAGAGTATCAGGAACGACAGAGGTTAATAGAAAATGGCCAAAATTGGAAAAGGTCAGGATGTATTAGAACATTCTATTCTGGTGCAACAGAAACAAGAAGAAAAATGCCAGAACATTTTTTAAAAGTTGAGTTGTGGCTTTTGGTGATGAGACTCTGTGGTAAGAAGTAGTAGAAAAGGATTTGCTGGTGTGTGTGTGTGTGTGTGTGTGTGTGTGTGTGTGTGTGTGCATGTGTGTTATTAGAAGCCTAGAGGAACTGTTATGACTTTCTAACTTGTATTATGATCACATGTATTCATGATCAGGCAACTCAGGAGGATTCTTTCTTAGAATATAAGATATCAATCCCTATTAAAGGGGAGACAAACAATGATGGACTTCCCTCGAACCTAGACGTGGTCTCCTGAAGGTCTGGTTTTAAGCTGGAGTTTTTCCATAGACGATCTAATAAATCAAATACCTGATTCATGCAAATGACACGTCCTTCCCAGAGGCCAGAATGCTTAGACTGTTGTTGGAGTTTAGATTTTAGGAACCCTACTTCACCTCTGCTCTGGGAAAGTCTGGTTATATGTTCCTGTCTATAACAGACAATTTTTTGGTGATCAGATTTGGTATCTCTATTGTCTCTCTCAACAATCAAGCAAATGTTCAGTAAAGACTCTAATACCCATTTTGAAAGAAACTTGCATCCACAGATGAGCATTTTTCTCATTTAGCTGTGTGAATTTGAATAAATAAGTGTGTAGATATCTGTCAGCTTTCTTGTCCAACTGAAAGAATTCTAGAAGTTTCAAGCTTCCAGCTAAAATTTTTTTAGTATATGCATGCTTCAAATATGCTTCATTGGTCACAAATGCATTTGTACAAGAGAAAACAAGTGTATTCCACCTTACTAACCAGTTGCTTGTATCCTCCAGATCCAGAAGTTATGATCATTGTTGGGGCCTTGGTGGCAACGCTGGTAGGCGCTGCTATTATCATTTCTATTGTGTGCTTCGCAAGAAGAAAAGCAAAAAAAGCAAAGGGGACAGAAAGGATGAGAAATACCAACACTGCTACAGAACTTGAGTAAGATCTTTTTGTTGTCCTTATTTGAATGAAGAAATTTTCTCAGACAAATCTCTGTCAGTCCGTTCTTAACTTTCAATGTAAGATACTGGAGTTATCTTTGCACATCTTCTGTTTTCACTTTTTTAATATCAGAATGGTGATGACTACCGTCATTTATGAAATGTTTGTCCTTGAGTGCACACCTTGCACCAGTTTGTTCTGAGCACTTTATGTATATAAATCACTATGTGTCATAGCAACTAACTTAGGTATAAAATATGTTTCACTAGATCCTGATAACTTACTTGTCTTTTTGTCACTTTTTACTTTTTTGTCACTTTTTAAATTTTTTATTTTGAAACTAAGGACTACACAAAGGTGTGAGGGACCCAGGGAAGTCAGAATGTGGTTAGAATGTGACCATGCCCTGGTCATTCATGCCCTTTATATATCTCACACTTCTTTGTTCATCTTTCTACATCTACAGCTATGTGGACCATTCAGGGAGATGTGTTGTGCTTATTGTGCTAAATGCAGCCTTCAGAGGCACCTGAGCCACAAGTTTGGCCCTTAGACTTATTCATATTGACTTCAGTTTTCCTCCTTTTTAAAACACTTGAACTCTTATTGTACTGTTAAGACCTAACGTTTCAACACATAAAAAAGAGACCCAAGGTCCAATGGTAAAACAAAGTATCAGGAATTACAAAGGTGTTAAACAAACTGGAACCAATGGTAACAAGCTACAGAGCCTATGGATTCACAAGAACTTTCAAAGTCAATGTTTTTCTAACTTGTTCTTTGTTGGGTCTGTCTTTTTGCTGTAGGCCAATGACAAAGAAAAATCAAAATACAGAGTCCGAGGCAATGCTAAATGAAGATGCTGCCACACTACCTGCCCATGAAACTGGCCCTGATACCATCATGGGGTCAGATCGTGAGCCTGCACCTACCCTTGCCCCAGAACCTGCCCCAGGATCAGATCCTGTCCCTGTGCCTGAGCTGGAACTCCCACAGCCACAGCTACAGCCACAACCACAGCCATAACCACAGCCCAAAGAGGAGTCAGAGGTTGTAGTCGAGCCTGGAGGGGGTGATAAGAGAGCAAATAAACAATAGGCAGGAAGCCCAAGTAGCCAAGTGCAGTAATTAGTTTATCCTAAGGAACCCAAACTAGTATCTGGGATTTCAGTTTCCATAATCAGACTACATTTTCTCCCCTACTTACCTCTGACATTGTGCTTCTGCCATCAGTAAAAAATAAAAAGGTTAAGATAACTCCTAAATAAATGCTAGGATTCTTAATTCTTAGTAGAGTTATTACCATTGTACTAATATAAACACACAACTAATGTCAGGACAAGTGGTTTCTAATTCAGTTGAAAGTGTTTTTGAAACACCACCTGTGTTTCCCTATTTTCAGTCACTCTGTTACATGCCACTCACACGTGAAAAGGTAACATTAATTGGGTTAAATATTTTCCATAGTATATTTTTTCTTTATTGCTGGGGTGGGTTTGGGGCCATACTGGGGAAGATGTTCAGGGATCACTCTTAATTGTTCCCTGCATGCTCAGGGGAACTACACAGGAAATCAAACTCCCTTTGCTATAGGCAAAGCAAGCATTATCTGTTGAGCCTTAATTTTCTTTTTCATTTTTTCTTCTTTTAAAAAAATTCTTTTACCTTTTAAAAACATCTGAAATTATTTGAAATTACAAAGTTATCCATGTTTGGATTTCAGGAATACAATGTTCACTTTTCTTCTTTGATTTTTGAGTAAGACCTAGTAGTGCTTGGGAGTTACTTCTGGCATGGATTTTGGGGCCCACACCCAGTGGTATTCACAGGGCCACGCAGTGCTGGAATTGAACCCAGAGCTCCACATGCAAAGCATATACAGCAACCCCTTGAGTCATCTCACTGGTCCCTACCCTGTTAATTTCACATTGCTCACTAATAATTCATGAGCATTATTAAAGCTTGGAAAATTGTGCTCAAAAACACCAGAGATGTATGTATTGGGTGGTACATAACATTTAAAACTGATATTAAAGCTAAAAGTTTCACTTATAATATTGGTTTCCAAAGAACTAGCCTATTATCTTACATCTTAGTAAAGAAACTTTTTAAAACTTTCAATACAAAACTATACACTTTCAAGGCAAACAATTCTAGATACAGTTTTCTGTCAGTGAATATAAAATGCATGTATCATAGGTGATATACCTATAATAAGATAGGTGATACACGTATATGTAAAAATAGATTCAAAATCAAATTTTGAATTGGCTACTACACTGTTTCTGTGTCTAACATTATTTACTTTTCAAGGGTCAGACAAGGATATTTAAAAGTGAACATGTAACCTCCATTTCAGGAAATCGGAATGAATTATTTATTGTTCGTAATGTTCACATATTCTACATTAATAAGTAGATGTCATCCTTGTATAAATGCAAAATATTAACCAAGATGTATTGACACAATTTCTTCTTCACTTGTCTAAAAGCTTTTCCACTGATAATATATCTCCCACACCACACCTTACCTGTAAGTTCAACTGGAAGAATTTCACATGTAGACATTTTTGTGTAATCAAACTTTTAATTTTTAAGGTTCAATAAATAACACTCAATAAAATCTTATCCTAACGACTCTTAAGGTAAATCTTTAAAAATTTAAATTGGCCCTTTGGTCCGGCCGCCCATCAGAGCTGCTTCCTTGTCCCCCATCTCCCAGGTTGGTCTTTACGCCTCCCTTCTGACCTGGGACGGGAACCCCACCGTTCAAGTGTCTGCAGGCGCCCCCCCCCCCCCAACGCTCGGAGGAAAAGGGGATCTGCGTCCCTCTCTGCCTGTCCCTTTGGTCCAGCCGCCCATCAGAGCTGCTTCCTTGTCCCCCACCCAGTCTTTACTTCCTGGACAAAAAGCAGGTATCCGCGGAGGCGTGGCCACTTCAGAGGTGGGCGTGGCTTTAAAAGTGGGCGTGGCTTAAGTTTCGGCGGGACAAAGCTCACGCGGCAGCAGGTTGTTCACTCAAACCAACAAACATTACCCCTCCACATACACAACAACATGAGGAAACAACGCAAATCCCCACCACAGGGAGACCATGAGGAAATCTGTCAAGAAGCCTCAGTAGTAGCTAGCCACCTTATTTTTTTTTTTTTTATCATTTTTTTATTAGTGAAACACAATGAAGTACACTTATAGACTTATAAATTTTTGTGCTTGGGTTTCAGTTATACAATGATCAAGTACCCATCCCTCCACCAGTGCCCATCCTCCCCCACCACGGGTCCTAGCATCCCTCCCACCCCCCATCCCCCCCCCCCCCCCCGTCCCACCCTGCTGCTGTGGCAGGGCATTCCCCCCTGTTCTCTCTCTTCTTTTGGGTACTGTGTTTTGCCAGAGAGGCATTGAGTGGCAATCATGTTTGTTCTATAGACTACTTTTAGCATGTCTCTCCCACCCTGGGAGGGTCTTCACAACACCCTTTATTTGGTGCTCTCTTCTCTATCTGAGCTTCCTTCTCACCTAGCACATGTGGCTGGCCTTCAAGTCATGGAACAAAATTCCTGGTACTAATCTGAGCCCTTCCTGGGTGTTAGTCTCCTGTTTTGTTGCTTTATGTTCCCCAGATGAATGCAATCTTTCTGTGTCTATCCCGCTCTTTCTGACTCATTTCGCTTAACATGTTACTTTCAATGTAGTACCACTTGTATGTAAATTTCATAACTTCATCTTTTCTAACAGCTACATAGTACTCCATTGTGTAAATGTACCAAAATTTCTTTAAACAGTCATCTGTTCTCGGGCACTCAGGTTTTTTCCAGATTCTGGCTATTGTAAAGAGTGCTGCAATGAACAAACAATTGCAGATGTCACTTCGACTATACCTTTTTGCCTCTCTGGGATATATTCCCAGGAGTGCTATAGCTGGGTCAAATGGGAGATCGAATTCTAATTTTTTGAGAATCGTCCATACTGTTTTCCAAAAGGGTTGGACCAGCCTGCATTCCCACCAGCAGTGAAGGAGGGTCCCTTTCTCGCCACATCCGCGCCAGCACCTGTTGCTTTTGTTCTTGTGGATGTGGGCCAGTCTCTGTGGTGTGAAATGATATCTCATTGTTGTTTTGATCTGCATCTCTCTGATGATTAGTGATGTAGAGCATTTTCTCATGTGCCTTTTTGCCATTCGGATTTCTTCTTTGCGAAAGTTTCTGTTCATTTCCTCGCCCCATTTTTTGATGGTGTTGGGTGATTTCTTCTTGTGTAGTTTAACCAGTACCTTGCATATCCTTGATATCAACCCCTTGTCGGATGTGTATTTGGTGAAAATTCTTTCCCATTCTGTAGTCTGTCTTTGTATTTTGGTCACTGTTTCTTTTGAGGTGCAGAAGCTTCTTAGTTTAAGATAGTCCCATTTGTCTATCTCTGTTTTCACTTGCTCAGCCAGTGGCGTGACATCTTTGAAGATACCACTAACTTCAATATCGTGGAGAATTTTGCCAACTTTGTCTTCAATAAACATTATGGATTCCGGTCTGATGTTGAGGTCATAAATCCATTTCGATCTTACTTTTGTGCATGGAGTTAGGCAGAGATCTGAGCCCACTTTTTTGCATGTAGCCGTCCAGTTTTGCCAGCATAATTTGTTAAAGAGGCTTTCCCTGCTCCACTTCACTTTTCTTGCCCCCTTATCGAAGATTAGATGATTATATGTTTGGGAGGAGATGTCAGTATATTCAACTCTATTCCATTGGTCTGCAACTCTGCCTTTGTTCCAGTACCATGCTGTTTTGATTATTACTGCTTTGTAGTAGAGCTTGAAGTTAGGTAGGTTGATTCCTCCCATTTTCTTTTTCCCAAGAATTGCTTTAGCTATTCGTGGGGGCTTATTGTTCCATATAAATTTCAGGAGTGTTTGCTCCATTTCTTTGAAGAATGTCGTGGGTATCCTTATAGGGATTGCATTGAATTTGTACAGTGCCTTGGGAAGTATTGCCATTTTGACAATGTTGATTCTCCCCATCCATGAACAGGGGATATTTTTCCATTTCCTCATGTCCTCTTTTATTTCCCGAAGTAGCATTTTGTAGTTTTCTTTGTACAGATCCTTTACTTCCTTAGTTAAGGCGATTCCTAGGTACTTGATTGTCTGGGGCACAATCGTGAATGGAATTGTTTTCTTCATGTCACTTTCATCTCTTTCATTATTTGCATATAGGAAAGCCATGGATTTTTGGGTATTGATTTTATAGCCTGCCACTTTACTATACAAGCCTATTGTTTCTAGGAGTTTCTTGGTAGAGGTTTTAGGGTTCTCTAAGTATAGTATCATGTCATCTGCGAATAGTGAGAGCTTAATTTCTTCTTTCCCTATCTGGATGCCCTTAATATCTTTTTCTTGCCTAATCGCTATTGCAAGTACTTCCAGTACTATATTGAACAGCAGTGGAGAGAGTGGGAATCCTTGTCTCGTCCCTGACCTTAGGGGGAAGGCTCTCAGTTTTTCGCCATTGAGGACGATGCTTGCTGTAGGCTTGTGGTAGATGGCTTTAACTATATTGAGGAAAGTCCCCTCTATCCCCATTTTGGCAAGGGTTTTCATCATGAATGGGTGCTGGATCTTGTCAAATGCTTTTTCTGCATCTATTGATATGATCATATGATTTTTATCTTTTCTTTTGTTGATATGATGGATTATGTTGATTGATTTCCGAATGTTGAACCATCCTTGCATCCCTGGGATGAATCCTACTTGGTCATGATGTATGATCTTTTTGATGAGTTGTTGAATTCTATTTGCTAGTATTTTGTTGAGAATCTTCGCATCCGTGTTCATCAGGGATATCGGCCTGTAGTTTTCTTTTCTTGTGGTGTCTTTGTTTCCTTTTGGTATTAGAGAGATATGGGCTTCATAGAAACTGTTTGGGAGAGTTTCCGTTTTTTCAATTTCCTGGAAAAGCTTGAGAAGAACTGGCAACAGGTCCTCTTGAAATGTTTGGAAAAATTCGCTAGTAAATCCATCTGGACCTGGGC